TTGTACCTGAAATATGGTGATATTCTTCTTTGGTAGAAAGTCTTCATGCAAAGACGCTATCACAGAAAAGCAAACCAATAATTCATCATAATTATCTTTGTAAAGGCTATTTTCTTTCATCATGTTCACGTAATGGCAGTTCTTGTTTACAATGATATAATAAAGCTTTTACTATTTTTTTAATATTGTCTTTTTCTTCGAGTAATTTGTTCTGACTTTTTTTTTCAAACTTTGCAGACATAATGATAGCAGCTGCGATATCTTCTTTTTATTCTTCTTTTTGTGTGTCAAATCATGGCTCTCCACAATTTCCTATCCTTTTTAGCTCTTCGTAACCTTTGTCTTTTTGTCTTCCTTTCCCTTCCCGTTCTGTCATCCATTAATATCGTCATGTAGATGGCCCGTACCTTCCTCTGTACTTTTTGCCTTCGATATATCCTGTGAGTGTCAAATTCTCCAAGCCCGCTGTCTTCATTATAAATTCAAGAAATTTCACCTTTCTGATTCCATGTGTGGATTTTATTTCACTTTCCGTAAAACCTCCTGGTGGCTTATGCTCTCCGCCCATGGTATTCTCAGTATGCTTTTGTAGAATCGTATTTCTGATACCTCTAGTCTTCCATATATAGTCTTCTATCGGTGTCGCATTTTTCATCCTCTGTTAAAGACTTTCCAGATTTTCTGTGCATATTTCATTTTGTTATCTCCAATTTGTAACCAACATCTTGAGCTTTTTCTTTTGCTGACAACCAATCTTACATTTGTTGATTAATTTTTTCTTCTCGCTTTCCTTTACTAAATTGTTTAAGAGGTCCTGTAGTTTTCCTTCTGTGTCTACCATCAACACAGTGTCATCTGCGTATCTTACATTGTGCCCTTAACACAGTGTCATCTTTGTGTCTTATATTGATAATAAATTCCGGTAGAGTCTCCAGCTTCATTACGATAGCCTCGCAATCTGCTGAGAAGGCACATCCTTGTCTTATTCACGTCTCTATTTTTATGTATTCACTGAAATTATTTTCTACCTGTATGCAGGCGGTTTGCTCCCAATATAAGTTCTGGATCTATTTGGGACATAGAGTTCGCATTCATTTGCACCTGATTTCTTAGCTAACGCTATATCACATACATTAAATGTCGTAAAACATCTGTAATTGTTTAAATGACTCATAGACTTAGAATTAACATAAACATGCACAAAACATTTGAAATAGTAATTTTAAACAAACGGAAAACATTGGAAAATTGTTCAGCTCGTGTAAAGGAAAATGACGTAGTTATCTGGGAAATAATATGAGATAATATTTCCTGATTAACACAAAAATCTGAATTCAAAGAAGAGGTAATTTGCAGGTGTGAAAGATATATCAGCAAAGTTATATTAAATTAAAAAAAAAAGGTCTCTTCCAAATAATAGCTACAATCCAGTTAATGTTGATGGTTGAAATAGCAGAGAGGCAAAAATAAAATAAAAACGCCTGTATTGTGCTCATAAGACAAAAGAGATATCAATGGAAAATATGGAATTATATATATATTTCTTTTTAAGCATTACGCCCCGAGCAAGGCGGGAAGCCACTAGGATGCAGGGGGTTGCAGAAGATTTGGAGCGAGAGCAGATAGGAGTGATAGAAGAAAGGATGAGGAGAAGGATAGTGGGTAGATCAAGGTAACTGGAGATGTACAAAACAAAACAAAGTGAAATAAAAATGTGCAAGCAAAAAAACTTGTAACATGAGTCATTATAATGTATTTCTATATTACCAACCATTTTCAAATTTTTCATCTTGTCTTAACAGTAAGAAATCAAAAACAAACAATATCCCAAAATTGTAAACGATGACTTTTACACTCGTTGCGTTTCTTATAAGTGGTCATCGCTTAAAATAAGAAAAATTATTTTGCAACTCCTTACTAATAGTTATGAAAGTAATGTTAGCTACACTACATTATTTTTTACTAGTAATCTTACATTAAGAAAACAAATTGCAACTAAAAATTTAATTAAATTTAATGTTTATTGAAATTACTTAAAAAAATAAATTACTAAAAAACCGAAATTTCTTTTGTAAAATAATGTTTTTTCTTAATAGCACAGAGCCATTTTACACTAAACACCAAAAGGAGTGTGACACCATTATATAGTGACATATATTTTAAAAAATTCAGCAAGTTCATGAAGAGCTAGCAGTATTGCTTTGGCAGTATGACTGTTAACACGTGATCTTGTATAGGTGATATATGACAGCCATCCTGCCGCCAATATTAAAGGACATTGACAAGCAAGCATTGAGAATTTAACATAAAACAAAACTACTATGAGTCATATATATTAGCAAACAAAAAACAGAGCAATAAAATTATAATGAATAAGAGGAAAGATTTATAAGCATTAAATTAATTTATCTACATTTTTAGGCATCCGGTTTCGGCCATTGTCCAGTATGCGTTGAATATGGAATGAGGATTGTGCATTCATAATGCGTGTATATGTATGTTTTAGGAAAATAATTCTAAATTTCAATATATTTAAGGCACAGAATTTGTAGCAGGAGAATTGTGAGACCCCAGTGAGTAAAAATATTGACGTAATTACTTTTATGTCGCTTCTGATTAGTTAACAAACATGTGTTTTTAAAATCGTGTGTTGTGTTTTCTACTTCGTCCGTGTCTGAAATCATATTATGACTTCTAACTTTTATATGACCATGAACTGATTTTTACTGTCTATAAAATTTTGGTGTATTTATCAGGATCTACTTTCTTCACAATTTCTTTTATATAGACAAAGCCTATTCTTAACTTATATAATAATCCCCACCAGATTGCTATAAATTTAATGTGTCAATATGTTAAAGTCGGGTGTATTTTTCTAATGTTTAGGCCACATGGCTATGTGTCTTAATTTAGTTGGGTTTGGTTTAGTTGTGCTTATAATTTGTTGCGTAGAGTTTCCCGGGAATTGTATTGCTTAGGGTTACGGTTCCACCAAAGAAAGTTCCTTGTCTTGATGAACCTATGCTGGTTTTATTCTCTCAGTAGAAAGTTTGCCCTTTTTACTTTTTTGAGTATTGTTTTTCAGTGACTCGATATGGTTTCGAGTAGTTAGGGAATAGATTTTTTTAAACTATGTCTTATGAAGAAAAATTCTATTCGCACATACGTCCTTGTACATGTTATAGTCCAGAATGATGATGATATTTCATCATTCTAAAAATAACCTTGCCATCAGTGATGATAGAAAAGAAGGATATTTCATCATCCTATCATTATAAAAACGACCCTTCCAGCACAAGAGAGTACACGACTAGGGTACTCGTAGCAGTTGTCAGTAGATAATTAGACAAGTAGCAGTAGCATTACAAAACACACGTCTCGCCAGCGCTTTCCAAACGCCATCCTCACAAACGAAATTCTCGGAACCAAACAAAGTAAGCACTGACATTTAAACAAAAGAGATATTGAGAACATTTTTACACACACCGTACCAATATTCTGCTATTCATATTACAAAAAGAAAATACAAATTCTTGTTATTTATGTCAACATGTCTCTCAAGTTTTTATTGTTGTTATCGTTGTACGTTTTATGCATTTTAATTTCATGTCATTCATGCATACCCGATTACAGTCAAGAAATAATAACAACGGGGAAAATAATACATCAACACCCAACTTGCCAACCCCGTTACATAGAATGTATAATTGTTGAAACACATCGTTGGCATGAATGGTAATCTGTTCATTCTGCTTTTAGAGGCTTGAACAAAAGCTGTTGTGATATATAACAGACTTCAAAATATTGACCGAGTAAAATCTAAGCGGTACCGAAAGCCAACTTCGAGGGGATATATTGTAAATCTTCTTTATGTTTCGTATAGATAGTAGTAACGCAGAACCCAAATTGCAATAAAAAAAGACACTTGAATGACACCAATGCGAAGGAGAACTACCTGGACAGTGTTAAAAGTAAATACATTGAACAAAATGAGAATGGAAACACGAAGTGGGATACAGTAAGAGAAGCTTTAGCGTGAATCAGCAATCAAGATCACCTAGACAAAAGAAAACTAGACAAAGAAAAAACAATGGATGACAGATTAAATTTTCGACATAAAAAGAAACAAGAAACAATGCCATGTTTACGACACAGAATATAGGACTTTGCACAAATAAAATAGAAATAAATTCAAGCGAGCTAAAGAGAAATGGCTTAACATAAAGAGTGCAGAAATAGAAGGATTGAGTATCACAGATAAAGTAGATATTTATAAACAAAATACAAGAAAACAAACAGGAAAAAATACATGCTCATCAACATTGTAAAATAGAAAGACAGGATGCTGATATCAGAGAAATAAAAATACTTCAGAGAAAGAACAAATACATCGGAGAATACTTTCACGTCGAAAGAGGACAACCTGTAATACACAGTAACATCGAAGGACCAGAAATATTAAAATCTGAAGTGAAATCAGAACTGGCCAAATTGAACAGAAACAAAGCAGCAGGACCAGACGGAATTTAAATAGAGATGCTGACAGCCTTAGTTGATTAAAGCATTGACAAGATTACAGATATAATAGTAGTGGTGATATACCGAAAGACTTACGTAGATTCATTTTCATAGCACTACCTAAGGGGCCACGGAGATTGAATATGAACACCGTCGGATAATCAGCATAATGAACAATATAACAAAATTTATCATCCGAATTCTGATGAATAGAGCGTGCAGCAGTATTAGACTGGAAATATGTCAGGAACAGTACAGGTTCGTTAAAGACATTGGAATTAGGAATTCGATATTGATACTCATAATGATATCAGAAAGCGCAATACAAATGCAAAAAGTTGTATACCTATGTTTTATAGATTAATAAATTTAATAAATTTAATAAAATACGTCACAATAAACTGTTGGAACTGCTAAGTAACCTTGACAAATTTGTGAGGCGTATTTCTGTGTGCTAACTATCCCCATAGAGAATATACGATATGGATGAGGAAAAAACGGCCGCGGTGTCCGCAGTGAACACTGTCAGCTTAGCCTACTTTAAAGCGGACCCAGCTTTGTTTTTCGCACAGTTAGAGTCGGAGTGCGAACTGAGAGGAATTACCTCCCAGAAAACAAAATTTAATTTAGCGGTCTCCAAGTTGCCTCTAGAAGCTGTCCAGGCGGTGAGAGAAATTATTATCTCTCCGCCGAAAGACAAGCCATATTATAAGTTAAAGGAGGAACTTGTTCGGAGGACGTCTGTGTCACGACAAAAGAAATTGTCGCAGCTTTTGCATGAGGAACAATTGGGAGACAGCAAGCCGTCGCAATTTTTACGTCGTTTACAACATCTAGCCGGAGAAAGTAATGAGGATGGCATTATACGTCATATTTTTCTCCAGCGTTTGCCCCCTGCGTATCACGCTGTTTTAGCCGCGGTGGGTGAAGATGCACCCGTCGAAAAGCTGGCTGAAATAGCAGATAATGTAGCTGACCTAACTTCGGGATGCACTGCTCCCGTTTCTGCCGTACAGACGCAAGAGCCAGATCCGCTGGCTAGACTTTTGGAGGGACAACGAAGGTTAGAGGCTAGGATGGAAGACTTAGAGAGAGACGGTTGCAGAAGGTTAGCATTCACCGCTCCCCAAAGCAGAGGTCGTGTAAAAGCTGTTAGCAAGGACCCAATGTGCTACTTACACAGGAAATTCGGAGATAGGGCTAATTATTGTAAGCCCCCCTGTTCCTTCAATTCGCAACAGGGAAAAGCCTAGGCTGGCGACCGGAGGCGACCCGGTGCGCCGGCGTGGGAGAGGTTTGTCGCTTACTATTTGTTTCGGACCGCACTACTGGTATACGTTTTCTCGTGGACAGTGGTGCGCAAATATCTTTAATTCCTGCCACTAGGGCAGACAAGTTAAAAGGCCCTCCCCAAACTTACCTTGCAGGCCGTGAATAAGTCGCTCATCCAGACTTATGGTCAGAGGTGCCTTACATTGAATTTGGGTCTGAGACGGGTTTTCACCCATTTCTTTGTCCTTGCGGATGTAGAGAAGGCCATATTGGGTGCAGATTTTTTACACAAATTTGGTCTTCTCATTGATGTTCACAGACGTTGTCTGACAGACTCTAAGACAAATACTCAATCGCCGGGAGCCATTCATAATGTAATTCCATTATGTCCTACTGTGGCTAACACAGAAGATAACCATATGTTCTGTGAACTTTTACAAAAGTTTGAGAGTATTACTAAACCGGCTTTTCATAAAGATAGTTTACCCCACAATATAACACACCACATTGCTACTAGCGGTTCTCCTGTTCACAGCCGTCCTAGTCGTCTGGCACCGGAAAAATTGAGTTTAGCGAAAGCGGAATTTACCCAAATGATGGAATTTGGTATTATCCGGCCATCAAAGAGTAACTGGGCATCTCCTTTACACCTGGTACCCAAAAGTGGTGGTACCTGGCGAGCTTGTGGGGATTATAGGGCACTCAACTCTGCCACTAAACCTGACCATTATCCCATTCCTCATATACATGACGTAACGGCCATCATTCAGGATAGGTGCATATTTACGAAATTAGACCTTATCAGGGCCTACCATCAAATTCCCGTAGAACCTGATCACATTCCAAAGACTGCCATAACAACACCATTTGGGTTGTTTGAGTTTCTGCGTGTGCCATTTGGACTAAGAAACGCAGCACAGTCTTTTCATAGGTTTATCGACCATGTATTGCACGAGCTGCATTTTGTCTGTGCCTATGTGGATGATGTACTTATAGCCAGTTCTTCCATGGAAGAACATATTAAACATTTACAGCTCGTTTTCGAGCGCTTTGAGAAATTTGGGGTTGTTATCAACCCAGTAAAGTGTGAGTTTGGAAAGTCTGAAGTTATTTTCCTAGGTCACCGCATTAATTCAGCGGGAGTTTCACCTTCTCCATCTAAAGTGGCGGCCATTTCTGACTTTCCCGTGCCAGATACCATGAGAAAGTTGCGACAGTTTTTAGGGATGGTAAATTTTTTTCGAAGGTTCCTGCCAAATTGTGCGCAGGTTATAAAACCGCTGACAGATATTCTAACTGATGTCAAAAATTGTGACATAGTTTTGTCTGATGAAGCTTTGGCAGCCTTCCACCAAATTAAGGTTTTATTGTTCCGAGCAGTTGAATTGTCACATGTTGTCCCAGGTAGCGAGTTGTGTTTGGCAGTGGACGCCTCTTCGATTGGTGTTGGTGCAGTACTACAGCAGAAGATTGATGACCACTGGAAACCAATTTCTTTCTTTTCCAAGAAGTTAACTTCTACAGAATCCAGGTACAGCACATTTGGACGTGAACTTCTCGCAGCTTATTCAGCGGTCCGTTACTTTCGACATTTGTTGGAAGAGCGGACTTTCTACCTACTGACAGACCACAAGCCCTTGTTCGGGGCTTTTCAGTCAAACTCTGACAAGTATTCCCCACGTGAGACCAGACACTTGGATTATCTGTTACAATTCACATCAGATATCCGTTTCGTCAAGGGAACAGACAACATACCCGCAGACACTATGTCTCGTGGCATAAATGCTTTTGTTCTGGATCCGTGCTTGCAACATCAATCATTTGTGGAAGCACAGGAGAAGGATCAGCAACTACAGCACCTGCTACGAGAGAACAACACATCCTTGACGTTTTCAAAAATACCTGTTCCAAACACAGAATTGGAAGTTGTATGTGACACCAGCACCGGACGATTGCGCCCCTTCGTGCCGGAGTCAATGCGGAAGACGCTATTCTCTTCCATGCACAATTTGTCCCACCCAGGAGCTAATGCCTCAATACGGCTAATCACAGACAGATTTGTTTGGCCACGCATGAAAACTGACATTCGACAATGGTCAAAGACTTGTGTGCCATGCCAGAGGGCCAAAGTCGGGAGACATACCCGTTCACCTCCTGGATCCTTTCCATCACCCGACGAGCGGTTTGCACATGTTCACGTGGACATCACAGGACCACTCCCTTCATGTGAGGGAAAGACATATTTATTGACATGTGTTGATCGTTTCTCCCGTTGGTGTGAGGCTGTTCCCATGTCGGACATTACGGCACATACTACGGCAAAGACTTTTGTTTCAGGATGGGTTTCCCGTTTTGGGGTCCCTGCTTTAATTACTACAGACAGAGGGCGGCAATTCGAGTCAGACCTGTTCAACCAACTGATGAGATCTTGGGGAGTAAAAGAGTCAAAACCACCGCTTATCATCCCGAGGCTAATGGCTTAGTGGAACGGTTTCATCGTACACTTAAATCAGCTTTAAGGGCCGTGACGGATCAGGTAAATTGGCTGGAGCATCTACCGTTGGTTCTTCTGGGACTCCGCACTGCGGTTAAAGACGATCTTAAATGTTCATCTGCTGAGATAGTTTATGGCACCACACTCAGACTCCCAGGACAATTTTTTCTGCAACCTCCACAAAAAGTTTTGAACTTGACCTCGTTCGTTGATCGGCTTACCGCGAGCATGGCGAATTTGGCATATAAGTCTTCTGCGCAGGTTCAACGGCAGATATATGTGCCTAAACTACTGCAGACATGCACACATGTTTTTGTGCGGGACTTGGCTAAGTCACACACATTGCAGCCAGCCTACAGAGGACCCTTCAAAGTCCTAGAGAGACATTCGAAGTATTTTATGGTAAGCATTAACAATGCAACACAAAGCATTACTGTTGACATATTAAAGCCTGACATTTTGGACACTACCTGGCTCAGCATGGACACTTCAGTGACTACTCCATCACCAGTATCACCTGGGGTAGTAAAAGAGACTGTGACCAGATCTGACCGTCGTGTTAGATGGCCCAAACATTTATTGACATAAGTCATTTTCAGGTTTTGGGTTCAGCAGAACTATAAATGGAGGATATTCTTCCCTCCACACTGAACTCTTCCTTTTTCATTATGTTTCTTTAAATTTGTAATACATGTTGTGAAGTTTTGTTTTTGTTACATTTTAGTTGTATCTCTAGTGCAGGTTAATGAACCTGTCTAGGGAGGGGGTACTTGTAGGGAGACCACAGTTGTTTTCTCTTTGCATTAGCCCATGAGAGTTGTGGCCCCTTTTAGTGAGTAGAACTCTTCTGCCTTTTTTTGTCGTCACTTCCGTTTTGGGAGGAACGATCTCTTTTCCTTCCTGACCACCAGAGCGTCCACACACGTGGAAACTGGTCAACATGGGTACGGCCTAACGCAACAAACTCATTCACTCATCTGTGGACGACCAAAGGCCATGAAATTGGTAGGTGATATCTTTGTACTAATTCTGTTTAACCTCCTCGTTCCTTTGGGACAATATGGACATTTATTTGTTTTGGGACATGTATAAATCTTGTGTATATATTTACGAAGGCTGCTTGCCACATTAAATGTTTCATTGGTTACGCTCGCGTAATTCGTCTTCTCATATTCGCATTCAGTATTAATGTATCAATGGTTACGCTAATGCTAATATTAGTATCGGTGTGCTATTGAAGGCTAGAACGCGTTATTCTACCTAACATAGAATAATTAGTAAACTCTGTGTGGCAAATACACACCCCTATACTAATAAGGCTATTTTTGGATGACCGACTTTAAATTTTAATAATCCGATATACAGGGCTAAAAATGGCTACTCTAACTAGAATAAAAATTCACCAAACAAATTTTATAATGTAGAGTTATGCTACGTTGTAACATTTCTGCCTTCATATTTCCTTCATATTTCTTCTTTCATAATATTAAAAATGAAGGCAGAAAAGCTCCAATCAGTAATATTTTATTCTGTTGTAATCAAATTAATATGAATAGAACATTAGAAAGGAAATAATTAATATTTAATGAAGTGAATTGTATTAAAATCACAATTTAATGGGTCTATCGGCCTACGCATTAGAGAAATATGAATAAAAAAATGCATTACCCCAAACCTGCGAACCCCTTGATAGAGGAAACAACTATTTACCGCTCGAGTGTGGTAACGCCGGTTCTCTCCCTGTCAGGAACGCATTTGTCTTAGTTAAGTTTTAATACGCAAACCTAAACTTAATAATACATACTGTTTAACAAAATATGGGACGTCTATTTCAAATATGGAGTATAATCAATTATAATAAATTTGCAGCAATAAAAATATAGCATTTAAAATAAATAATCTGAGTTTAATGGATGTGCTTCCTTAAAAATGGAAAATCGAAATCCAACAGCGTTTGCTGTGCCCGAGTAGCACACTTGATCAAACGGTGGCTGACCATATGAAGGAAAACACATTTTTGTTTACTAAATTTTTAAAGTACTCACTGCTTAATAAACAAAAAGGGGACGTCAATTTTATATACGGAGTATCCACTATAATAACGTTTGAAGTAATGCGTGTGTAAAAATTTCAGATAGAATATCTGTGTAAAAGGAAAATATGAATAATGACAAAAGGAAAATTATTTTCGCCGATGCATTTCGTCCTCCGAGGGACATTATCAAAGCAAATTTTCTTTGATAAGGTCCCTCATGGGGACGAAACATGTCGGCTAAGTTAAGTTTTCTTTTTGTCATTATATATATATATATATATATATATATATACTAAAAATAAAATAAATATTGCCATGTACAAATTAAAACTGACCGTTGAAATAACTCAATACTTATAGCCTAATAGCAAGAAAATGGAGCAGTTCTATTTACATGTGGAATAAATAAATTAGCAATGAAATGAATATATATATATATATATATATATATA